CCTCACCAAACGTTGCTCCGCTAGACACAACTCGTTGCCACTGATCGTTTGATAACCGTTCGGGTAAAATATTATTGAAAAACAATTAGTTTGATGCGACGCTCCAGCGATAACTTCGAGGGTCGTGATTTGGCGAAAGAAGTAATTAAACGGGCCTAATTAGCGGCGTTTTATCGGCGGTGGGATTAACGATGTTCGTTCAGGGCAATTGGGGGACGCATCGGTGAACGCGCGAACAAAAGTCGCGCTTTTACCGGATTTTTCCCCGTCGGGTGTGTCGCGCAAGAAAAGACAAACATAGACACGGTGGCGCGTTCCCGCGAAAAACGACCGCGCTTCCGATGGACAATGGCAGCCGGCCAAGATAACGAGTGGCGTACGTGATCGCGAGAAATTTAGGAGTTTCGTTCAACCTCGCGATGGCCTTGAGAATACTTAAAATTTTTCGTGACTCTCCGGACCATTTGGTCGGTCCCTAATCGACGAAGACCGAACGTGCAATTAATCTATTTTTTTTTATTTTTTCTGACTTAATCGACAGCTATCTGCGCGCCATCTTTAATGTTTATTTTAACTTAACGAAAGCTAGTTCGCCTGTAGATCGTACGGATGACATATACATGCGTAGAAGAATGTTTCGAATAAAAGGCGTAAATACGAACGTTGGGTATGACAAACACGTTGGTGTTTCAGGGGTTAATTAACAGCTGATGAGCGGTAAAGCACGCGCTTATACAATCCCAAACAATCACTGACTTTCGGAGTAATTTTCGATTCCCTCTGTTTGTATTTTATTTCAATTGACAGATAATGGAGCTGAATTAGCTCACAGATCGTCGAATTAATGAACTTTCCTTTAGTTTTAATTTAGCTACCGATCGATTTGTGCGCGGAAGAGAGCTTTTACTTTAATTTTATTTTAGTCGGCCGCCACCGAGAGGAAACGCGAGCCCATGATGGCGAAATTGATGAATTTTCTCTCAATTTTTATTCGATTTGTCGACATACGAGTTTACAGGTTTAACTTTATATTAATTGCTACTTAGTGCGAAGAATCGCGATACTAATGAATTAACGTAGAACCGTGATCTATGCAAAATTTCGTCCGTTTGAATTTTACACGAATTACCCGCCGACGCTTGCAATCGAGGCATTAATGTACCTTCCTTTAATTTCAGTTTCACTGTTAATTGGTTCGAAGAACCGAGAGTCTGTGATGGCGAAATTAACGATTCCTCTTTCAATTTTAATCATTATTTAGCGCGCGCAGATTCGAGCTCATTACCGCGCAATTAACGACTTTTCTTACAATTTTGATTGAATTATTAACGCACGTGTAGAAACACAGGCTAATAATCGACGAAGTTACCATTCCATCCTTGACATTAATTTTAATTTCTCGCTGTTTTAATGATTTCGAATCGGCATTATTTACAATAATTTCGAGTTTGTATTGCACGGAAGAATTTTTATAAATTTCGACGAACAAGAGGAGAAATTGTTAAGTTTGCTTTCGGCTGGGATTCTCGGACCTCGAATAGCCGGGGCCGCCATTTTCTAACTTGCTACGAGGAAAATGACGCTTTGCTGATGTCAAACGTTGTTTCGCGTTTGAACATCGAAGAATATCAGGTTATACTTCGTAACACAACGCGATAGGAACAAAATAATAACCTAATTTAGTGATCTATGATATCAATCTAACTATTAAGAGTTTTAGCGACATTCACTTCATTCTAAACCAGAATTTTTGAACTTTGGCAAGTAACATTTGATTTGTTACAAAATTAAACACGTTATGCTGCTGGTAAACACTGTTTCACGACCAAACATTGTAAAATACCGACCTGTATTGTACTATATTCACAAGAGAATCAAAATGGAGGCTTAATTTAGCACCTCCAAGCGCCTAGAAGACTACAAGACAGCCAAAAGGTAAATGATTACATTTGTTCTTCGTAAAATTGAATCTATTATTATACTACAAGTTTCAGCCATGATGAATTTAGTTTAAACTATGATTTTCAGGCCATAAATGTTAATGTGTACCCTAATTTAACTAATATATACATCAATCCCAACAACTCTGTGTGAAAACCTGACACATATAGTGAATTAAAAAGTGTAGTGATGTGCATATTATCCTGAAATAGGATTCTGGAACTTCGATCAATAATTTCCTCTTTATTTCGAGGATGAAGACTCCTGCCTGATGATACATTTTCAAAAGTTTCAACACAGAAAATACTATGTACTCCAAAATGGAGCTCAACGTCATCAGCTGTTTAAGATCGCCGACTTGCCAGTAGATAAATCACCATTTCACATAAAGTTGGATCCAACAGTGCATTAAGAGATTTACCGATAGCGTTTCGGAAAACAGAAACAGACTGCAAATCACACTGTATAACGTGTCAGAAAAATGTTACAGTATCTATTATCCGACATATCCTAAGATTGCAGTTCAACTTTATCAACCGTCTACGTTAACTAGCCAATGGATAAATCAACATTCCCTATAAAATTCGACACAGCTGTGAGAGATTCATCGAGGTGGGGTTCATCTTAGACTAGAATCCACCGTTCCTGCCATCGGGACCCTAAAATTGCATCTCGCCTCGACACCACGAACCGCCCACAAGTCGCTAACTAGCCAACAGATAAATCATCCCCAGCGATTCCCCATAAACTTCGATCGACGAACGGAGCAACCGGGCCCCGGCAACGAGTCATCTAACAACGTCGTTGTAAAAGACTGACAGGCGACCGGTTGGCCAAGTGAAAACACACAAGCCTGCAAACGTTAACAAACCGATCCAACGGGAACGTCGATTCGGGAAATGAATGTATCTTGCGATCGGAGCGGATGAACGAGCGATGAAACGGTTCTCTCACGTGCTGAGCGTAGATCTTCCCGGTACGTTTGTCGAAAGCGTCATACGCGGGCCGCCGCGTCAGCTACGCGTTGCTTTCTAGATACGATATGTATCCGGCGCTCGCGAAAACCGGAGAAAGTGAACCGTGCACGCGAAACGATCGGTCGGTACCGCTAAATTCCGATTACCGCCGAAATAAGCATCAGAACACGGATATCGGTTTGCGCAAACACGCAACAAGTTCACCGCTGTCGCTCGTAAAACAGACCCGCGGATGCAGTAATTAAATGCCGGCCGATTTTTCTCGCGGTATAGCTCTTTTTCACTACGTCGAGCCCGAGAACCGAGGAATTCCTGATCGGCGAACCTGGTAGAACGATGTTCGAGCTGGCTAAGGGAATAGACACCTGGTCGCTAATGTTTTTTTGGTGTAACCGAGGCTCCCAGACAACTTTGACGCAGAAATTGACGACTCGTTTAAAGGCTACTGGAAGATGCTGAAGAATTCCGCGGAATTCTTTAAGGTGTAGTCTCGTATCGTGGAGTTCGGTCCTCGTAGACCTCCGTTTTAACGAGCTTTTTTGGAACGACGACAGCGAATCTTTAGAATTTTTTAGAAGAACCGACGATCCGTGATGTTTTATGTAAGATCGTTGACTTGGAGTTTCACACAGAGGAAACTCGATAATTCATGAAAATAGCAACGATGTTAACGTAACGGAAACTTCTTCTACAGTAGTAACTCTATTCCGGTTGTTTGCTACGCTAGTGGCGAGTTTTTGAACATTTCCAAGGACTTCGCGGAACTTCTGGAACCTCCACTTTGATCACAGTCGCAAACAGTTTGCATTTTTGCGCGACGCGTTCCATCAACGTTGATTCGAGCTTCTCAATTTCAACTTGGAGCAACTTGTTTACCCGAGCGCTTTCAAAAACACGGGTTTTAACGAGAATTCCCCGTTTCTTCCGAATATTTCATCCTCTCTGCAACTCGGATCTTGAACTAAACACGCGTGAACACGAATTTACGTCCGAATCCGACTACCGTGAGTTTCCAACTGCAATTTATAATTACTAAGCATCTTGAAACGCAGGTTTCATTGAAGTCCTGCGAGTCTGCTTGGAGTAACACGCGGTACAACTGGTTGAGGACCTCGTTCGTGGGCAAAACAGGATATTTATCTGATCTGATGACTCTACCGTGAATGATAAGTCGTATTCTGTGACAGTTTTTGGAGTTGCTTATCTACGCGAAACCTGTTTCGGTTGGAGAAATGACCTGGGTACCTAAACGTTTCTAATTCTTTCTGTAACATGAGAGAGACCACCTTGTATCTTAAAATTCATATAGATTCGCAAATCTACTCTGTATTTTGCGGAGCAAATCATGTTTTCGCGATCTTGTCTTCGCTATCTAACATGTTTCCGGTCTGGGAAACGTACCGTATCGGATAGTATCTCTGTCTAAATGTCTATTTCGAAGCCTAAACTTTTTAATTCACCAATTACAAACATCACGAATAACGCGGGAAGAAATTTCTTGACAGTATATCGAATCGAGTGTTAACCCTGACTTCTTCTTTGGACGTTTGTAAATTCTGTCACCTACTACGAGTCTACCTCGATATATCCAGCACTGGTTTGTTGTACAAGCACTACATCGAACAAAACGTTAGCCTGACTTCTCTGCCAAACGTTTAAAAACCCTAAATATCACCTAGTACATGTCTACCTCAGTATTCCAAGCACTGTTTGTTGTCCAAGCACTTTGTTCTGCAAACTTCGTGCACCAATCTTACTCATCCTCCCTTAACACACTTTCCACCGTACCTACTCTCCTTCAGAAAGGGATTTTTCAACAAACTTCAGTCTCTACGTGTACAGAACGTTCGTCTCCATCGTGCGTTAATTTTTATCGCTTGAAAACAGAATTTTCGACTCTAATACGTCTCCCCGAACGTCTGTGGCAGACAGAACACAATTCTTCGGATACACATCGTAGAAAACTGTTCACTGGTGATCTAAGGATCCTAATCATTGCCGAGCGCACTGATCTCTAGCTGCGTGAACACGACACTCAGAAGATCGGTCTCCAGGACTAGCGAAAGAACACGGTTTGCTCACCTGGTGGTGTGATGCCGTGAGGGTTCAGATGCGGATGATGGTGCGCGCTATTGAGGATTCCTTTTCCTTGTAGATGATGTGCCGTCGGGCCGGGCGAGCTTGTCGCCGGCAAGTGGGCCGCCGGATTGTAGAATCCGGCCGCTGCCAGGGTGGCAGCGCTGAAGTAGCTGGCCACGACCACCGCCGAGGACGGATGCGACAATTCCCTTTGGCTGAGCAACGGCGGCGGCGTTTCCGGCGCCGCGGCCGGACTACCGGGTCCTCCTGGTGGCGGCGAGGCGCTACCTTGCGACGACGAGCCGCCCAAAATTGGTGGATGAGTGTTGGCCGCGGTCAACAACGAGGAGACGCTGAAATCCGTCGGTCGCGGGGCGGCTGGGGCCGGCAGGTGGCCGCCGGATATGTGTCCGTTGGGGTTGCTGGACGGTGTTCCAGCGATCGAGGTCGGAAAGGGCGAGTGCTGATTCAGAGCCGTCGCTGACGCGGGGTACGCCATCCCAGGCCCCCCCGCCTCGGCCCTCGGCCCCGTGTTTGCACCCTCGACCACGTTAGCCTCCAATTCTCGTCTACGCCGTTGACCTTCTATGTCCTTCGCGGAGGAGTCCACCTCCTCCTCCACCACCTCCTCGACCCGTGATCGCTGCTGCAGCGCGGAGGGTTGCGGAGTGCTGGCGCAGTGGGTACCCCTGCACGCTGTGTCTTGTTCGAATCTCATCGAGACGGGCGAGTGTGCCGAGTCGCGCGAGATTCCTCTTCGAGTGACTCAAACCGAGGGACTCTATACCTAACTGACGCACTGTCTCTTCACTAATCGCGACACCTATTCCGCCAATATCGCGTCTTTCCTGTTCGTTCTCTGTATCACTGGCTAACTGACCGTCAACCTATTAACTGTTCGGTTGGTTCTCGGACATGATTGGAAAGCGTCGGTGCAAGCCGCTCAGGAACGGATCCCGCGATCCTGGCTCCGTTCTCGTAGCTGCCACTGAGATCTCTCGATCGCCTCGAGCACCGTCGCGAACCGTCCAGTCGACATCGTACGTCGCGACGGTCTAGCTTTGCGGCGAACCTGTGACCCAGGTACAGCACTCTCCGTAAAACACCCGGTCAACCAGCAGCACCGTAATCACACTTATTCATTCAACTGAGACACACTGACAGCCGGTGGATCTTTCGGACGAGTTGTACCAGAGTCCACTGGCCGCGTCCGTAAACACTGTGGGAATAATATCCTGCGGTTCACTGTTCACTGACGTGCACTATGTCCGCGGGAAGTTCCTCCCTGCACACGCTGATCACCTCACTGCTGAATCCGGTTGCGTTGGCGCGACGCGAGCAACGCGACGACACGGAGGAGGCTGGCGAGCGAGGTCGCACCGGGTGGAGCGGCGTCCGACGGCCGGACGACGCCGAGGACAGTTCAGCCGCGTATATCCGCACGCGAAAACCAGACGACAAAAAGGCAAGAGAGAGGGCTCTACGGCTCGGTTCAGCAGCGAACCTCGGCTGGGGCTGGAGAGCGGACGAAAGGTGTTACTTGGGTGGCGCCGCGATGGTCACTGAGCAGCGCTAGGATTGACACCTCCTCTGGGGGCTCACCCCCACACCTCCCGCAGAGGTGTTGGTGTGCTAAAGTCCTCGTCCGGATTCAGGGCGTGTGTACGCGCGGCTACGTGTACGCGGACGGTCGCGTGTAAGTGTATACAGACGAGCGGAGTGTGCCTGCGCCGCCGAACGGACGCGGGAGGCGTGAATGCTGGAGGGCAGCGACGCGAAGACTGAGACGGTGCAGGGGCTCCTCCTCCCTTCCCCTACGACCCCGTCTGGTGCGTCTGGTGGGGGAACTCGCCGGTCGAGCCACTCTGACCCGTGCACGCGACGGAGAGGGAAATACGATCCGGCGAGCGACGGACAAGCGTGGACGTAGCCGTCTACTGGCGCCCTTCCACGAACTCCAGCGGGCGATAATGAGCGCTCGTAGCGCGGATTGGCGTTCCGGCGCCAATCCGAGGCGCGTTGCTCTCGACGCCTTTTCCGAAGTTTCGCGTCCTTCTCGTGCTCTCGACGCTTCTCCCGACTGTCTCTTTTACCCCCACCATGTATCGAGCTCAGTACGATACTTGGAACGCTCTTCCCTCGTTCTCTCTCTCCCCCATCGCTCCCCACCACGTCGCGCGTAAGGGTGTTAACCGCGAGTACGCCCATTAACACCACCCTCCCCGCGATCTCAGTCTCGTAGGCGGGGGTTTGATGGGGAAGGGGAAACGCCGATCGACGTTGCTCGAAACTTCGCTGCGAGAACGTTCGCGATTGACACGCTGGATTTTTACCGGTGCTTGCTGAATAACTACGGATTCCGCTTTTCTGGAGTACTTGGCATCGAGGTGTTTAATAAAGAGAATATTTTAAGATTCTTGCGGGAGTCGTTTCGAAAGTTTTTCCGCGGGCTTTAGTTCCAGTGAACTTTGTAGAGGGAAATTTCTGGGTTTTGAAATTTTAATGATTCCAGCTTACTTCGAGGTGAAATTGAAAATTGTTTTGTGATTTGTAGAATTGATATATATCATTTTTTATGTAAAGAAGAACTACTTTACTATGTGTGTAATACTTTCTTTAGTCGATGTCATACAAAATTCTATTTTGTAGAGTAGTCGTGTACTCAGTAGGGTTGATATCTGAGAAAAAGCTACACCTTGAAGAACCGTGTGATATTCGTTTCTTCCCTTGGAGTATTATATTCTATAGTTTCAAATCTATACTATCGTTGAAAAAATACATTGAACGCGTATATTACGGCATCGTAGCACCGCCAATCAGTTTTAAAGCTTCTTGAACTTGAGACTCGTCGAACTTATCGCAATAACGAAGATTCACCGCAGTCCTATCCACTCGACCAGATGGGGAATCCGCGTCCGTCCATTGCCAGCGTTTCGGGATGCCTGGACGGCCCGTTTTCTCCATTAATCCGGAACGGCACTTCATCAGTCATAATTCAAGCCGATTGGCCGTGTCGAGAGCCGTCCGAGTTTTCCGCGAAAAGCCGAGTGAGAAATTTTCGCGAGCTGTGCCAAAATTCGCGCTAGCCAGCGTCACCCCTCCCATCGTTCGCGGTCCCCCCTCCGCCGCGACAGTCGCGGGAATTGACTTGCGCCGCGCGACGTGGGATCGACAGCGAAGGAGAAACCGCGGGCTCCGCCCACTTGGCCCCCACCGACGCGCTACTCCCCGCCGCGCGCTATCACGTGACTTCCCCCCACCGCGATGCTCTCGTCAGTCTCGCGCGTCCCTTCGCCACTTTCCCCTGCCTGCTCGCGGTTCCGCCCCCCACCGCCGCGAGAGAAACCTCACGGTTTTTCGTTCCGTCGTCGTGTGGCCCCCTCATCCTTCGCGCCGTCGAGTGTCAGCGAGACGCCCAGCGCGTCACAGTGTTGCCAAATCCGCGAGAGCTTTTCCACCGGCGAGACTGGGCCACCGTGATTTCCAGAAACACTTTCTGCGAAAGCTGCCTCGGAAATCGACGATCCTTTCCGTTGGTCAGCGACGCGTTCGTCGGGACGATCGATTCTTATTGGAAACTAACTTTTCGGTGAAATTTCGAACCGAAGATTCCGTTGAAGGTTCTCGCTTTGGGGCGAGTACGGGGACAGTGTTTCGATTAGGTGTTCCGAGATCAATTTTTTCGTGGAAGAAACGAATTCTCAAAATTTTGTGAAATCATAGAGTATATTCAGAGTTAGGTTGTCGAACAGCTTTTCTATGAATCTTTCAATTTACTTTCTCTCCTATCCTCGTTACGGTGAACGAAGTCGTTAGATAAAAATGGAATAAAATATTTTTTAGGTTAAAGAGGATAATGTATGAGCGACTAAATTGCTTGGAAAAGTAATTTTTCGTGGGATCTTTGATTGGATATTCGTTGATTTGATTTTCATATCAGTGATTAGATATTTTAGGATCTAGCAGTTTGAGTACGGCACTTCAAATGGAGTATATCGAACTTAGATATGAGTCGATATGATTTTGCGTGCAGAAAATGTACTCGTCCAATTTCGATCGAGAAATAATGCAATACGATTCTCAACATTAATTCCTAGAGTTCACGTTAGGAATACTTTGAGCGCTGCAACAGTGCTTAACATTCCATCGATTTTACTCTCTCCTCGGAAATCCTTTCGCTTCAGCGACAACGGATCCGATCGATAAATGAAATTCTCAATGTCGGAAGTAGTTCTTCAATTGGATTTCCCTTCGGAGTCTGTAACGTTCATTCAGTTTCCAACGACGTCTTTATTGCCAACCGGATCTCGCAACCAGTTTTAGACAAATTTGCTTAAGGCACCATTGTTCCTTGAACCCCATTACCCACGAAAAATATTACCATTCAACAAGTTATAGAGGTTGCCCTCTCGAGACTCGGCCGTAGGAAAATCGACGAATAACGATTTTTTCAAATTCGACGAAACGATCGAAGATTCGGATTTCGATGATGATTTTACACGATGCGTGTAAAATTAACCTGATCGACGACCCGCGAGATACAGATTTCAACGTGGAACAAGATAATCCCGTGATGTGAACTCGCGCAATCAGCCGCGATTAACAAGCCTTAACGTCTGGCTGACTATCGTGGCTCTCAAAGACATGCCTCGAAGTAATATAGTTTCGATACTCGCCCCCAGAATATTCGCTACGGCCGCAACAGACCCTGGATGCGCATTGTGATCGCGCGCTGGTGTAAATAGAGACGACCACAGTTGCGATCAATCCAACCCGCTCCCTGCATTTCGAGGGTCCACAACGTTTATTCTCGCAAATGCTGCTCTATTTGCCTAGCCATACCATCGTGGTCCGAGTGGATGACACTTTTAGAGCTGGGTGTGGTGCTGGAATCTTCAAGACCCAAAGAAGTGTCAGGATTTGGCGTCTGATTTTTCAATTTACGGGGCTGGGAATTTTAAAAATTGCTTATGGAATTAATTTTAGTGTAGAAGAGGTAATTAGTCTGTGATGGATAGTCGAGTTGATCATTTGTGGTTGAGGATCCACATGGAATTCTTATGATTCACTGGGAAAAATAGTTTTCTACACTAGGCCCACATTGATTTTAAACAGTTATCAATGTTGTGGTAGTACTATATTCATAGATAATGGATTTGGCAACCTTATGTCTTGATTAAACAAAATGCTTGGAATGATATTTTTGAACACTAAGATACATAGACTATACATTGACTATAATACGTTTCGCATATTCATATGCTCACGCTGAGTTTCTGTGAAGCGAACTGCTCCGGAAGTTCGAAGATAACAATGGACTTCCATCGTCCATTGCTCTTAATCCTTAAGTCGGCGTACTCGTGTTTGTAACACACCTAAGCCAATTTAAATCTTCCTTTTATATGCTTATTTGACGAAAGTATTATAGTTCATCTATTACAGTGTCTTTAAATTTTGAAAGTTATTGCCAGAATTGAAAATGCAGGAGTTTGAATTCCCGCTGAAAAGGATTTGACGTCTTAAATATGGCTGCCGTTCACTGTGACGCCAGAATATTTGTTTACGTCCGGATTTACGTGTAAATCCTCTATCATTTAGTGCATTCTGATTTTAAATCGTCGGAATTTATGGTCAAGATGCAAGAATCTTCAGCAGAAAATATGGAAACACGTCTAACACACTGTTATAAATATTGTTTATTGCTCGCCATCTATTAAAACATCAGAAATCACTTCTTGCTCTCATAAATTCGCATTCAGGCATAGTTTCACCATCATCCACATTCTAAACTAGGGAAATAATAAATGACAAGGTTTATGCTGATCAATTTTAAGTTGGAACAAAATTTATATATCGGGTAATAACAAATATTCTGAGGCCACAGCCTGTCGGAAATACTGCATGCCCGGTATGTGGTCGAAGTTCTTCAAATTAGTCAAATTTCGAAGCTTCATTATTGAACAATAATAGCGATCAACTATCAATTAAAAATATATTTGTCTCTCATAACACTGCTTCCATAACATTGCACGCTGTACCCACTTCCTTCCTGTAATTTTTGCAACAACCTAACTCGACAAGAAGTTCCCACCCCCCGAATGGTCCTCTCTAGTGTTGTTAACTATGATTGTACGCGCTGTCAGTTGGCAGAAAACTGCGAAAAAATCGAGGGATTTGCGAAACAGTAACAGAAAGGCACGCACAATGGCTTATTAGAATAGACATACTACATCAGGCAACAGCACATAATTTATCCCAGTTGGGGTCTGCTGTACCCCTACCCCCCTCTCCCGTTGCTACCATCTTAAGGGTTAAACACTGATTCGGAATTCGTGTCCACCGTTCGACCCAGTATCTCTTTTGCGACGTTGGAGCAGGTCGGTCGGTTATTATTATTGCTACAAGTGCCGCGAATTGCCCACCCCCTCCGAGCGTGCATATTAATGCGTATTGTCAGCCGTCGTGTGTCCGTTAGACAGCGGCGAGCGACAACAAATGGGAATTGCTTCTGAGGCAGCGAG